TCAGAGCCCCTCCCCCTCCACACACCTTTCCCCCCATCCCCGGAGGAGCTCGTGCGAAGACGCCCCTGGAACAGCTCCCCTGCTGCCAGCGCGGGGCTCTGTCCTGCGCCCCCGTCCCCTGCGCTCCCCCCCGCACGGGGAAGGGGCGCGGGGTGCTAGACACGCGCCTCCAATCCGCTGGCAGCCCCGAGGCGGACCCCCGCCGGGCCGGGCTTCTCCCCGGTTCCTCGAACCGCCCCCGCCCCGCTTTCGTTTTCCGGCCCGCGGTCTCTTTGCGTGGAATTGTCACGGGCGAGCGGGGGGATCCCCCGGGCCGACAGAGCCCACTCGGGGCGTTTAGAAACCCGACATGGGCCTGGCGAGCACCGGGGGATGTGAAACTGCCCCCCCTCCCCCCGCCGACTCTGCCTGGTTCCCCCCTCTGTTTTCCAGGTGACAATTCTGCAGGGAAGGATCAAAACGAACCAGGGTCTCAAACGGCCTCGGTAGCAGAGTTCCGGGCCGGGCTGGACGCGGGGGGGATTGCTGGAAGACAGAAGCCCCTATAGTGCTAGCGCCGCCTTACCTTCCCCCGCGCCCCGGCCTCTCGTAGGCAATACTTTGCATATTGAGTTGGGTTTTTAACGGAGCCCAGCGAAGAGTTTACCCAGCCCAGACTCACAGCAGCTCCTGGTCTCGTGTAGACGGGGGGCTGGCTAGAGGGAGGCTACGTGCCAGGCCTCTGTAAACCAGACTAGCGAAGCTATCGATTCCCTGACCATGATGGTGCAGAAAATCCGCGTCGTTTCAGAACCAAGTAGGCGGTTAACCAGCGTGTGACGGGAAACGGAGCCTGGCTTCCCCTTAGGCACATTGGCCAAAAGTGCCTCCAAACGGGACGCGCACACGAGCTGAGCGTGCAGACTGTCCCGCGCGCATTTCGTTGGAGCAGTTTTGTAGCGTCAGAAAGACGAGTCTGTCCAAAAACCGCGCGCGAAGATGAAACAAAAACTACAAACGAATCGAGTGAATTTTGGTCTCACGCGGGATCATTTTGCCCCCTGCGGATTTTCTCGGTCAAATTCCATTTCGAAGCCACGTTTCCCGGGGCGCGAGCCCGCAGCGACGCCTTGGAGACCAGGCTTTTTTAAAAGGTCATTGCACATAGGAAATTGTTCTGAAACGATCGTCACTTTTCTCTGCTCCCGCGTCGATTTCGTTTTGGGAAGGGACGGTGGCGGGGACGCACGTGACTAACCAAACAAACCAAAACTCCCTTGCGCGCTGCTGCGCGGCCAAGATGCCAATTTCCGTTTGAAAGTAGATTTCCCGCTGGCTCGGGCTGTAGGACGGGGCCGGGATTAGACTGACAGTGCAGGCGGTAGCGGGGTGCGGGAGGGGAGGGGCTTATTCTGCGTGTGCAGCAGCTCGCGGGTCGCTAGTACATGGCCCCCCCGGCCTTTCCCCGTTGTTGGCGGCC